TATCAAGTTGGACGATATCGTAGAGGGAATCCGTAGACTGAGGATCCTTTTGAACAATTGACAAGCCCAACGCGTGGGCCATTCTTTTGATTAGGTCGGTGTAGGACGACAAGGCATCAGATGGAGATATGGGAAGGTAATATCGTAGAGGGAATCCGTAGACTGAGGATCCTTTTGAACAATTGACAAGCCCAACGCGTGGGCCATTCTTTTGATTAGGTCGGTGTAGGACGACAAGGCATCTGAAGGAGATATGGGAAGGTTTTGGAAGACATCGGTGGGAGGGGGTGACGTCGGAGACTCAGATGGCTCGGTATCGGAACCCGATATCGATGGGTCCGAAGAGTCAGGCTCCCCAGCCGGGGTAGACTGATGTGGAGACGGAGCAGGCGGCTGGATTGGTGCAGCTGCAGTGACGGCGGACGTTCCCGACAGTGGAACAGCGTCCGGCTGAGGAGGGCGAGAGACCATTGCGGATGGCCTAGATCACCTCGGAGAACGGGATCTGTGGGAAGATCGACAGGAGTATCTGTCCCAGTCAGTGTATCCCGAATGGCCCAGCCACGGCATCGGAGGGTGGTACGGACCGTATAGGTAACAGTACTGCCTTTCATCCCAAGTCAGCATGCACGATCTTGGGGAACGACTCCTCGACCGAGGACGACGCGGAGAATAAGTTGACGGAAGAGCATAGGTGCCCCTTCTGCAGTCAAAGGCGTCGATATCGATGGAGTCAGGCGACAGACAGGGAGGCGGACGCTCTGCATTGGATCTTGACCGTCGATGCCGATGACCGTTGATGTCGGGAGGCTCTGAGGCAACCAATGCCGACGAGCTGGATGGACCGGGGGAACACTCCGCACCCAACTGGTGACTTACGAGCCCCATTTGGTCGACATCGTACAAGGCTGTCTCCACCGTATGGTCTGGAGAGTCTAGCACAAGTACCGTCGTTTCAGACGCGACCTGGTTCACCGGTATCGATGCCATCGGTGTCGAACCAGTCGGTATCGATGGTGGCGGAAGGGCCGGTGCTGCTGGCGCAGAGTCCTTCTTAGCAGGCTTCACCGCCTTGGCCACCTTCTGCGTCGCCACAGAGGAGTCCGACTTCCTGGCCTTCTTAGCAGAGGTGGATGCTGCGGAAGGAACGTTCGGTACCTTAGGTTTCAGTTTCGACCTCTCGGTATCGGACACGGACTTAACCTTCGATGTCGATGGCTTTGATGTCGATGCGTCGGCAGCGGAAGACATGATGACGGAGGAAACAACCGGCGGATCAGCCATCGGTTGAAGCGCCTTCTCCAAAAGGAAAACTCTTAAACGTGCTGCTCTGTTTTTCCGTGTTTGGTTGGAAAACTGCGCACAATGTTCACAAGAGTCTGGCTTGTGGGTCTCTCCAAGACAAAAAATACAGTACTTATGTCCGTCTGGAGGAGCCAATTTACTTCCACAAGTACGACAACGGTTGAAAAATCCCCACTTTTTTGACTTTTTTGTCTTCTTTTTCTCCATAGACTGAGGAGAAAAAGCCAGCGACAAGGAGGGTGGGGGGGGGGGCCAGCGGCCCGAAGGCCTGAGGCAATTTTACCTCAGACGACGAAAACAAAAAATCTCCTTTTTTTGTCAAAACAGAGAAAGAAAAAGAAACTGAAGAAAAACTGAGGCAAAAAAGCGAGAGCTGATCACTAAAAAGTGACTCAAAGGCAGCGATCCGGCCAGACCTCTCGAAGATAGGTCTGCTCAGCGCGGCGGAAAGGAAAGAACTGGCGGGATGTTCGTGCCTGCCCTTCTGGGCATGCTCACTGGGGCTCCTGAACATGCTCAGTTGGGCCAGGCATGAAAATCCTTTTAAGAGAGCTTGCTAGGCACCGGCAGATCCAGCGCAGGCGCACTAGATCCCATTGGTGTGAAGCACAGAGACCACGAAGAAGATCATGCAGAGATCAGACTTGACTGACAAGGCATTGAGTTCTGAGACCCTTCTTGCGGAGGTCACCGCTACCAGAAACACCTTGTGCAATGGTTTAAAGGGTGCTTTGGTGAGTGCTGTTAAGACAGTATGCAGCCTCCACGTCGGAAAATGATGAATTTGTGGCAGAGATTTGACAGTTGCCCCGAAGGAAATGCTGTACGTGAGGATGCCTGGTTGTCTTGTAACCGCTCATGGTAGGTAACACCGTAGAGAGAGCCATGACCTGTCTGCATATAGTTGCAGGCTTTAGCCCAGAGTCCAAACCTTCTTGCAGAAAGGAAAGGAGGGATTCCACCGAGGGAGAAAAGGGATCGATCCTCTTCCATCTACACCAACAAACAAAGGCCTTCCAGGTAGTGTTGTATATGCGAATGGTGGATTGCCTTCTAGATGATAGAAAGGTGTCGGTGACCTCGACTGAATCTCCTAGGTGAGAGAGATTCCTCTGCTCAGTCTCCAGGTGGTCAAACACAGCCAGTCTGGGTGGGGGTGCCAAGTTGGTCCCTGAAGCTACATGTCTGGGGTCACTGGGAGAGTAAGAGGTGGGCTGATTGCCATCTCTCTCAGGGTTGAGAACCACGGCTGACGTGCCCATAGAGGTGCCACCAGGATCACCTCTGCTTTCAGTTCCCTGACCCTCCGAAGAGTTCTGGGTATCAGTGGAAGGGGAGGAAAGGCGAAAAGCAGGCCCTTGGGCCATGGTGCTGTCAGTGCTTCCACCTCATGGTAGTAGTACCTAGTAAAGTATCTTGGAAGCTGATGGTTTTCGGGTGAGGTAAAGAGATCCACTAGGGGTTGCCTTAGCTGATTTACTATTATGTTGAAGAAGTTCGGATGCAATGCCTATTCTCCCTCGCAAATGGTTTCCCTGCTGAGCCAATCAGCCCGTATTTTGTCTGCTCCCCTGATGTGCTCTGCTGTTAGGGATGTTAAGTTCCTTTCGGCCCAGACTAGGATTTTCATTGCCTCCTGGTGCAGTCGAGATGACCAGGAACCGCCCTGCTTGTTGAGGTAAGCTTCGGCTGAAATGTTGTCCGTCCGCACCAACACATGCTGTCCTCGCAGGCGAGTGCTGAAATAATTCAGGGCATGGTAAATGGCTCTGAGCTCCAGCACATTGATGGAGAGGTTCGTTTCGGCAAGACACCACTGTTCCTCTAGGATTGCACCCAGACAGACAGACTCACATCAGTTAAAATCTCTAAGAGTTGTTGGATGTGGTAGACTTTGCCGCAGTGAAGATTGTCCAGCTTGGACCACCATAGCAAGCTGCTCTTGACTGTGCTGGGAACCCAAAGATTGAGAGTCTTTCTTTCCATGATGGCATGTTGATAAGGCTGAAGGATACACTGCAGAGGTCTGGAATGAAGGTATGCCCATTGGATCATATCTATACTGGATATCATGAGACCCAGGAGTTTTGACAGTGTCATTAGAGTTGATGAACTGTTCTGGATCACCGATGCACCACCGGGCTGATAATCAACTTGGAGAATAGCCTGGGAGCCGTGGAGAGACCAAACGGAAGGGCTCTGTATTGAAAATGCTGGCTGCCCTCACAAAACCGAGGAAACGCTTGTGTGCCGGATGAATTAGGAGATGAAGGTAGGCTTCTGTGAGATCTATCAAGGTCAGGAACTCGTTGGGTAACAGGGATTCCATGATGGATCTCAACGTTTCCATGCGAAAGTGACGGAGTTTGATGAATTTGTTCAAAAACTTGAGATCCAGGATAGTTTTCCAGTCGCCGTTCTTCTTGGGAACCATAAACAAGATAAACACCCCGGCTCCTTTCGGAAATGGGTACCGGTTCTATGGCCTGAATGTCCAATGGATGTCGTAAGGCTCTGTCGACAATGACTCTCTTGTTTATGGCCCTGCTGATTGGAGAGTGACTCCCTCCAAGAGACCTCAGTTGTCTTCAGGCAGAAGTTGAATCAGTTTGCGGATCCAAACTATGGCCACTCTGGAAGCAATAGAGGCTGAGGAAGCTGCCCTCACCATCATGGCAATTGCTTCATGGATCCTTTTTAGTGTTGCTTCCACCTTCTTATCTGTGGGGTCACGGATTGTGCCCAAACCATCTTCAGACACAAAGTCGGTCGTTTGGAGAGCTGCCACTAGTCCATCCACTGGAGACACCTGTAATATCTCATTGGCATAGTTAGGCAAAGCGTAAAACTTCCTCACAAATGCTGTGAACTGCTTATTAGCTGGGCAGAGCTCCGGAGGCTGTCGGAGCCAAACTCTGCACCCCCAAAATGGCCGCTGGCAGGCCGATGGTGCCCCAACAACAGGGCGGGCTCTTCTCCCAATGATTGCCGGCAGTGCTTCTGGGTGCACAGTGCCACCATCAGCTCAGCCAGGTCCGTTGGGGTGGCACGAGAATGCCTCAAGGGCAAGTCGGCCCCACTGATGATTCACGCCACAGCCACCTCCGCAGTGCATGTGCTCTCTTCTTCGTCCCTTGATAAGAAGCCACTGAGGGGCTCTGTTGCCGCCATGTGATCGCTGGAACCGGGGCCGCTGGCCTCATTGCGGCTGCATAATCTTCGCTCCAGAGAGGGAGCAAAGAAGGAAGGGGGAAGAAGAAAAAAGAGAGCAGAAAGGAAGAAAGGAGAGGCAAGTGAATAAAAGTCGAAGTTAGGCTGAAAAAGAACGAAAAGATGGGAAAAGTTGGAGAATTAGGGCTAAGCCTTTTCTACTGCTGCTTCTCCCTGTAGAGGCAGGAACAGAACTAAGGGGATGGGCGATTTCGAAGGCGCCAAAAGGAAGTGGGAAAAAGTATTTCCTGCCTCCCTAAAGGCACAGTGGGAATAACCCATGGAGATGTCCTCCACCTCAGAGGGAGAACAATACATACAGGGCAAGTACACAGTATGTACACAGACAATATGGAGAAGAACTCCTGAAGGACACACAGTACAGCGTATACAGTGGTCTCTACCCCTTTTCATAAGAGAACACAATTTTATCCATGTGTATGATCATTATGACTAGGTGACGTCTGCACTGATGAAACAAATACCTTCCACATACTCCATGACCATGCACAGGTGGCGCTTTGTCTCGAAGGAGCAGAACATGCTGACTACAAAAGGGTTTTCTGCAAATGTTAAGATGTCTCTCTCCACGAAAGCTTGCTGAATCTGATTCCTCAAAATGAGGTTCTGCTTGTTGATCTTCTTCACTGCAAAGCGCTGGCGGGTAGTCCTGTGGCGCACCAAGAATACTGCCCTGAGACAAAACAAGACAATTACACAACATTAGAGATGCCACAAGCATACTAATCCAAGAGTTGTGAATCTTTCTTTAACCAGTTCACAAATTATCAAGAAGTTGACAAAAGAAGAATGAGTGATACACAGTTGTCTCTGTTTCTACTGCAACATGTAAAAGAATCAGATCTAGGAGCTCCACAGGTTGTTTTGAACTAACACTCAGGATGGGTCTGATGAGTCCCAAATCACACATAACAGAAGCAACAGGGAAAGATGATGTACAGTAACATAAAAACCAGTTCTTGGATACAAGACCAAATTTATCATTCTAGTTTTCATTGGTTCAACTATAACTTCCTTAAGACACTGCAAAATTTCTATCCAACCGAATACAGGCTAGAATGTTCAACTAGTCACCACAAACCAGGACTTCTTTACTAAAATGGATTTAATAAATTATTTTCCTGCACTTCCTTGTACACTATTAACATTTCCCATTTATCTTCCTTTATTTAATAATGTCTACTTCCATTTCTCTGAAAGTGCCTGATGCTTTGCTGTCCACAGAACATTATATTTCACAAGCAGATGGATACGATTGGAGCCGGGAGGGTACCTGGTAGGGCTCCCCCCACCCCAGACGTACTGTGGCCATAGTTAGGGTTTCTGCATAGGTCTCTGCACCATGCACCGTGTAAGCCGCTCAGAGCCCTTCGGGGGTGAGCGGAGTACAAATTGAAAATATAAATAAATAAATAAATATATAAATATATAAATAACATACACCAGCATAGCATAACAAGGGTAGAGGCAGGCAATAGCAAACCACCTCTGAACGTCTCTTGCCTTGTAAACCCTACAAGGCTGCAGTCACAACTTGACGGCATTTTCCACACACCACTGACCAATTAACTTTCAGACTCTTGGAAAGAGATGCTTACGGTATAAACACACAAAATCTTTTAAAACCGTATTTATTAAGACCCTGGTTTCTTTCCAATTTAGCAATCACAATTACTTTCACACTTAAATATTTATTACTTTAATTTTCACCCAAAGGAACACATACACATAGCAGCAGAATGGACAGATATATAGTGAGACACACAATAACATCTGATAAAAGGACTGTTATGTATGTTACTGAGCTAATCCTAAAAAGGCAAGGTTTGGCTAATGCAAGCACATATTTACCATAATTTATGTTATAAAGGATCTTTTAAAAGTTAAAAAGAAATTCCAAGATCAATGTATTACATTAAAAGAGGTGTTAAAATTTATGGGTAGAATTGCCACGATAAAAATGTCTATCCTACCACGCTTCCTATTTCTAGCACAAACCATCCCAATTCTTAAAAATAACAAACTTTTCAAAGAACTTGACCAAATAACAAGAAAATTTATTTGGCAAGCAAAAAGACCAAGGATCAAGCTGAAATTATTACGAGATAAAAAGGAAAGAGGGGGTCTCAGTATTCCGGATTGGCAACTTTACTATAATGCGGCAGCGATGGGGTGGATAAAAGACTGGCTGTTATTAAAAGACGAGAGAATGTTAAAACTAGAAGGTCATATGACCTATACATGGGCTGGCATGCCTATGTATGGTATGACAAAGAACGGATACAGCTCCACTTTCACAATCACATAATAAGAGGTGCACTAATTAAAATCTGGAGAAGTATAAAAGGAAACTTCTATGATAAAATACCGGGATGGGTCTCACCATTGGAAGCGTTTATATTGCCGAATTTGCTGAGCGGAAATAAGAAAGCTAATTATGAAGTACTATTAAATAAAGAAAAAGAATTAAAATCCTTCGAAACCCTACAAGAGCTAAATATCAATTTAACAAACTGGGAAAAGAATCAATTAAAGTCCAGATTCGCTAAGGATAAAATAAGAGATTTTGAAACAACGATGTCGGAATTAGACAAAATCTGGCTTTCATCATCGGACAAACTAATACAAAAACTATACAGCTTCTTATTGAAGGAAGATATGAAGGACGAAATTATAAAACCAAGTATGAGGACATGGATGAGAGATCTAGGGCAGGAGATATGCATGAAAAAGTGGATTAAAATGTGGAATTCAACAAAACTATCAAAAGCCACCACATACAAAGAAAATATCTTTAAAATGTTATATCGCTGGCATTGGACACCAGATAAGATAGCAAAATGTTACAAAAATGCATCGGGCAATTGCTGGAGATGTAAGAAAAATGTGGGTTCTTACTTTCATGTCTGGTGGAGATGTGAGAAAGTAGTAAAATTTTGGAAAATAGTAAAAAAACTAATAGCAGAAATAGTAGAAATAGATCTAAAGTTGGACCCAGAAATATATCTACTTAATATACTACCAGAAGGGATTAAATATAATGATGCAAGTGTAATATTCTATCTTCTTACCAGCTCTAGAATTTTGTTTGCAAAATGCTGGAAATCGGAACAAATACCAAGTAGAGAGGAGTTAATTACAAGGATTATGGAAATAAAAGAAATGGATATACTAAATATGATATTGTTAGCAAAAGATGAGAATATGTTTAAAAGAAGATGGCATAAATTAGACAATTGGTTGGAAACAAATGTATAATGATCCTCCAAAGAATAATCTGTATATTCAAATGTTGGTATTGTTGTTGTAGAAAACTTGAAAATAAACGGTTTTTAAAAAAAGAGGTGTTAAAATTCAATCAAACAAAATATCTTTTGAAGATCTGAATTCTTCTGACCTTCATTAAATTGTAAATTATTTTTTAAAAATGGCTGGACAAAAGTATATGCTCTTACCCATAAGCCCCATTGCTGATTAGCTTAATGGTTTCAAATTCCTCTTCAGAAGGAGTTTTCTTTGCTTGCGTGGTGGCTCCTCGGCTCTGAAAAAAAAAACAGAAATACCTTTTCCCTTTTAACATAATTATTTTACACTTTAAAACTTTTTTACAACACTTGTTTCTTAACATTAATCATTATACTTTAGAACAATATTTGGACAGAAAATACCTTATTGTACTTCTAAGGTACTTCTTGAAGTGAATTCTACCTAATTTCTAATCAAAACACACATTAGATGAGGAAAAATTTAAGTTTGCGATTAGGCTAACATTGCGCTTTTCCCTGACCCATAGTAATTGCCTTCTCTACCAAAATGTCTGAACATGAATTAAATTTACCAATTTATTCATCTTCTAAATATTTTCGAACATAAGTAAATTTGATTATTTATACAGGCTTAAAATACAATCATTGGGAAAGAAACCCAAGATTCAGATTCCCAGCCCCCCCCCCTCCAAAAGCAGTTTATATATTCATATTATGTTTGCCAGGTCCATCTTTGTCCCCAGTGGGGGGCTTTGGGGGGGTGTTCTCAGAGGGGGCAGGGCATCCCTAATGTGATGATGTCGCATTGGAGAAGGCTAGGCTCCAAGCCCTGCCCTGTGGGGACAGTCCCACCAGCCGTGAGCCACAGCTGGAGGGCTCCACCCACCCGATCACCGAGCGGCAATACAGCTCGGAGATCGGGTGCACGGGGCCTTTTTCCCGCCGGCTGCCTGCACTTAAAGGGAGCCATTTTAAGTGCAGGGAGCTGGAGGGCCTTGTGCGCCTGATCTCCAAGTGGCAATCGGGTGCGCAGTGCCCTTTCCCGCCGACTACTTGCACTTAAAGGGAGGCCCTTTAAGTGCAGGCAGCTCGAGGGCCCTGTGTGCTCGATCTCCACTTTGAGATCGGGTGCGTGGGGCCCTTTCCTGCTGGCTGCCTACACTTAAAGGGAGCCCCTTTAAGTACAAGCAGCCAGATGGCCTCACACGCCCCTTTCCCGCCAGCTGCCTGCACTTAAACCGGGTTCTCCCAGATTAGAGTCCGCGCACTTAACCACTACACCAAACTGGCTCTCACACCAAACTGGTAAACAGTTCTTCCACTTATCAGAACTCACCCCCCCCCCCAAGTGCTTGGAATGTTTCCCAGACCATTTGGATAAATTACAATCACTTAAAGGGGCTCTCTTTAAGTGCCGCAGCTGGAGGCCCCTGCCTGCCCAATCTCTGAGTGGAGATCGGCGCATGGCCCACAGCCGCCCCTCTCCCTCCTCTTTCTCAAGAGAGAAGGGAGAGGGGTGGCTGCCAGTGGTGGGGCTTGAGGGCAGGGCTTCCCCCGCTGGCCAGCTGGCTGGGGGCAGGTAGAACCCTCCCTCAAAAAGCAGGTGACCAACTGGGGGGTCTGGCAAGCCTAATTCATATACACACAGAAATATTTTAGTTTGTCAGACTGTCATTCGGTTTTAGTGATTTCAACTATTCAATTTATACTTAATACAATCCAATGAGCAATGTGAAATTGCTATTATAGAAATACTGTTGTACTGTGATACTAACGCTGTTATTCAGTACCTTTACCTCAGCAGAATCATCTGTCTCTGGAGTGTCTGGACTATCATAGCTATTCAACTGGGCGATTTCTAAAGAGAGAAAAGGAAACATTTCATAGTTACATTACACTCTCATGGAAAATACTATGCAATGTGTAATACTTCATTAATAATTTACCCAACACACTCAGCAACTGAAAGGCCTTCCATAAACTGCACAGCTTTCCATGCACAAAATAACTGGGATAGTCGTCTTGTGTAGGAAGCTGATAACCAAGGAAAAGAGATGGAGGGAAAAGGGCAGCTCATGAGATTTTTCATACCAGAATTCCTTCACTAAAACAGTAGTGTAAATCACAGGTCTGGGCATTGCATGATCCTGCAATGCCCGTGATCATATAATCTTTTTGAGTTAAGGAGAGTACTTTTGAGTATGCACAGTCTGCTTGCACAGTTCTTCATAACATTTTTTCATGTTGCAAAGATATGTGGCTGTTGCTGTAAAAGAAATCTGTTTACTCACATAATTACTGTTTCTATGTGCCATGTACAGCTGGGAATGCTTTTATAAAATACAATTCAGAGACTTATACAAACCAATTATTACATCACAACGCATTCGTATTTTCTGTGTTAAAATTATCAATGTATGGCAGTTGACAGTAAGTTATATATCGTTAAGTTTTAAACACATATAAAAAGTGTAACTAAGGTGGCAGCTGATGTAAGTGAATTTATATTTTTACAATTAATATTTCTAGCATTGTGATACATGTGTATGCACAAGCTCAAACCTTATTACTGTTACTTTTCCATTATCACATACATTCAGAAGTATTAGCTGACTCTTAAATGGAAGGCTATGAAGAGATTAAAAATAATTGTGTACAGCTGTTTCTGGCAAAGACAAGGGGAAAGAATAGGGTTCACAAAAATGTGTAAAATTTCCCAAAGGCAATAAAATGAAAAATTATTTTACAGGATAGTAGTGATCGGTCTGTGGTAATTGTAGTACAAATTCATTGTGCCTTCCTGCCTTAGGTCAAGACAAAGGAGGAGGAGGAGGAGGAGATTGGATTTATACCCTGCCCTTCACTTGGGAGTCTCAGAGCAGTTTACAAATTCCTTTCCCTTCCCCTCTCCACAACAGATGCCCTATGAGGTAGGTGGGGCTGAGAGAGCTCTATCCAGAACTGTCTTTGAGAGAACAGCTCTGACAGAAGAACTATAGCTTGCACAAGGTCATCCAGCAGTTGCAAGTGGAGGAGTGGGGAATCAAACCGGGTTCTCCCAGATTAGAGTCCGCGCACTTAACCACTACACCAAACTGGCTCTCACACCAAACTGGTAAACAGTTCTTCCACTTATCAGAACTCACCCCCCCCCCAAGTGCTTGGAATGTTTCCCAGACCATTTGGATAAATTACAATCACTATTTATACATTTTTTCAGGTTTAATTCAAGATGGTATTAAAGAACCAGACAAAAGAATTAATATATCACTATTGTCTCTAAGGGGTCAAGCAAATAGGAAATCAGAAAAGTCACTGTGCACCTGAATATATTCTATCTGCCAGCTGAAGATCTGTCATACAGGGCCACTTCATATGCTATATGATTAGCATGTATACCGCATGCACACGATAATGAGTGAGGAAAATGTTCTTTTTAAAAAGAAAAACTACATTGTATGTACATACTGTGGGCACACAGTTTCAACTGCAGCTCTTTCAGTATATACTCACAATGTATGTATATTTCTAACAAAGAGCGTTTCCCACTCTCATATTAGAAGTTTCACTTGCTAGGTTCATAACGTATGATAGCACTAAAAATGACTTGTTACCTAATATACCCTATGAATACAAAGTAGAAATCCTCACCCTCCAGGGGATCTCGGGTGAGGCCCAGCTGGCATATAATATAACGAGGGATGTCACATTTAATTCCTTCCCCTTCCTTAGCATGGCCTTCAGCTGCTTCTAGCAAGTGGTAGAACTCTTCGGGATCAAACTCCTAAAGTAAAATGATACAAAAGGAGAATAATTTTATCTCCCAAAGCCTTAGTTGGTTATTTATCAAAAGAATAAAGAAAGCAAGAGAATAGTTCAGCTTAAACATCTGGGTCTACATTTCAAAACTAGCCCAGAAACAGAGAACATATTATGTACTGCAATAAGGTTCCACATCCTTCTCCATGCTAGAACACAATAAACTGCTAGGAGTTACTGAAAATTAACTCTATTTACTTTATCACAACTTCCTATTGTAGAAGCGCTAATAAATAAAAAGTAAGCAAAAGCGCAACATCCATGCTGTTAATTTCCTAGAGAAATAGATAAGAAGGGCAAAGAAGGGGTAGTTTTATCTACTCATAACCAAAATAATTACATTAAATTTCCAGCTTTATGTATTTGAAAGTAAAACAACCTCAGAAAATAAAACAAGTTTCCTTGCTATACTGCCCTGAGACGAGTCCCATTTATTCCCATTTTATAGATGGGAAGAGCAACTTGTAGATATGCATGAGCAACTTGTCCAGTCCTACTTAAAAGCTTGTTCAAAATAAACAAACATCCCTCTCATTCTCAGCTCTGAAAAACTAAGCTTCAGTGATTTAAAAAGAATTGTGGATGAAGAAAAATGACAACAGTAAATCATAATAATGAGATAGTAGATGATGACTGGGGGGGGGGATTAGCAAACCTGTGCTAGTTTTAACAGCCTATCTAAATTTTAAAAGGTTTTAGACATCAGCATGTATTTGTTTCCCACTTGGAAGTCACACAGATTTGCCTGGTGGCACCCTTGTTGCAGAGATACCGAATTGGCTAAGTACCATATCTTATACACAGAAAATATGGTATGTCCCCTTGGTAACTGCAGCGTAGATTCTAGCTTCCTGAGTGTCACTGGTACTTTCAGGTGTAGGTTAGGATTGTAATAGAACTTACTCCTACTAAAGATATTCTCCCATCTAATAAACCTTATCACTCTTGGCTTCACTTTTAACTGTCTTGAATCTCATTCCCAGTAATACTGACAGAGTTTTGTCTTATTAGTATTGAACATCATAACTAATTTTTAATGATAATGTGTTGGGTATGTTGTATGTTTGGATAACTTTTGTTTTTGCTCTGTACAAAATAATCAACTAAGTTACTGCTTCTGCTTATTCTAACAATGACTTTTCTATGTAATGTTACTATATATTTTTGGTATTATGTTGGCTGTTATTCATTGTTACTGTTTGAAACCTTTTAATAAAAAAATTTGGGGGGGAAAGAACTTACTCTTGGCCAACAGCAACTCTGGACCACTTTGTAAAACATTTTAAAAATGGCTTGGAAGTTGTGGCTCTTCGTCCCCTTTTCAATTTTTTTTAAATACAAGGTTCTATTTCCCAAGAGGATTGCTTGGATATACTCCCACTGCCTTAATTATGTGAAGAGTTAATGGGCATTTTCAACCTTCCACAACTCTATTGGGCACTTCTTTTTATAATAGCTACATGAAATATAGGTGAGACACTTACACACGTGAAAATTATGCAGTACACCTAGCTTGCATGATTTGGGAAGGAAATAAGAGAAAGGAAGTAGCAAACTGTGCATAAATTATAAAGGTACATATGAAAATAAAGAATAGTTAAAATGCCACGGGGAAATGCTTTTGGTGATCAAATGGATAGTTGATAAATGAACTGTTGAGAAGAAACTATTTAAATGCAGCTATATAATCAGGGGTCATTTCCTGCAGGAACGCACAGGAGCAGAGCTCTGGGAGTAAAGAGCCCAGGGGGCGGGCACATGCAACAAGCCCCACCCCCTGCTCCCAGCAGCCCTCAGTCAGAGCAAGAAGCAGCCAGATAAGTTGCAAAGCTCCACCACCCCCCGGTCCAAAACAGTCCAGTGGCACCTTTAAGACCAAGTTTTATTCAGGTACAAGCTCTCCCTCCTCTGCAAGGACAGATCTGCATGTTCCCCCCCCCCAATAGCTAGCAATCAAAAACAGTCCAGTGGCGCCTGAGCAGTGGGTGTTGCCTTCTGACACACTTCCGGTGATTTCAGGGGGTGTGGCATATGCAAATAAGTCATGATAATGAGTTATGCTAATCAGCTCCGGCACCTCTTTTTCTACGAAATGACCCCTGTATATAATCAAGTAGAACTACCCCCTTTGGATGTGTTCCTGGTTGCCTTAAATTATTCTTTTGGCATCTGGTTTTTTGGCAAGTAAGGCATGAATGCAGAAAGAAAATAATACTTACTTGTTTATTCAAAAGCACATGTAGTAAAAATTTTTTACCATTCACTGAAAATCCCTCCAGTGAGCCACATAATTTAATTTTTACAAAGAAGGCATATTGCTGAAAGCATATCTTTTGGAGGCAACAATGAGCAGTAATCAACACTGGGCATATTACATCTATACAAAACTGAATGAAACAAGATGCTTTCACATGATTATGGAAAATGGATAGTATGATTGGGACATCTACTGCTAAATTTTATATTCTTAAAATATAAGGCGAAACTGTCACTATGGTTACATATTACAGCTAACCGAGCTATAAACACTAAACAGATAAGAAAATGCTAAATTAGACTAGTCCTCTATTTTTAGACTTTGGGATTTTGTCATATCATTTTCTGGATTGTCACAATAAGCTTTGGTGTTCATTACTCTGATCCTTCCAGCTGACACCTGCTTTCATTTACTCATCAGAAACAAAGGGAAGGAAACTGGTACATATTAAAGAACTTGATTAGCTAAAGACTAGCAAAGATTAGGAATCACTAGAACAGCATTGTTTAGATTTTCAAGACTTGTAAATCAGTAAAAGGGTACATGTGCACATATTTATTTTTAAGCAGTATTAGATAAAAGCATTACTGTAATCTACATTCAGCTTCATTGTGTTCTACAGATCACAGTTTCATATCAGGGAAGGATTATAAAAGAACACATTACATTTTAATCCTTCATACACTGCTCTGAAAATACACTTTCAAATGTTGATGCAATAATTGCTGCCTTCCTTATGTTCTTAACATATGGTTTTAAAAATCCTGGTAGCAAGAGACTTCACTATCACATAAAAACACAATACTTAAGTATATCCCTATTTCAACAATGTTATCAGGATCCCATGAACTATGTATTCAATTCCATGCACCATGGGGGCTCTGAACTTTCATTTCTTGGTCCATTAGATGCACCTCGTCTATTGGTTGTCACTCAATAGCACTCTGGATTCAGAAATGTCCATTTGAGTCAGAAAAATATGAATTAAAATTCACACACTCTTATGACTAATTTTTTGGGAAGAAAGATAAATTAATTCAAGGTAAGTATTTTGCTAATGGTGGAAACCTTCTCTGAGGACATTAAACATGAAAAGGGTCGGTCCCAATGAGACTTCACTGCTTGCAGGAGAACTTGGGTCATTGGCAGTGCAACTGCAGTAGAGGTATCAAGTTGAATTATGTCAAAGACAGCATCAGTGACTTCTGGCTGAGGTTGAGTGATGGCCAACCCAAGGGTATGCGCCATGCGCTGGATTAGGTTGCCATAAGATCTGGTGTCTTCAGAAGGCAAGATCAGCAAATCGTCTGCAACCAGCTGCGACAGAGATGGATCCAAAGGAGTGGCTGGAGCCCCAGAACCATCATCCTCTGAGACAGACTCTGAGCCTTGAAAGGATGCAACTGGAGAAGATGGTGCAACATGCACCAGGGTATCAGCAAGTCATGGTGGATGGCATCGCGGCGGGGTTTGTCGGTGCTGAGGCGTCGATATCGGCTGCTTCGGTACCGATTAATGAGGTTCTGGCATCAGCACCGAGGGCTTGGTGGGCAAACTAGCATTCACCGGATGTGTCTCCATCACCAGGGAACAGGACTGGTGTGATCTCACCGATTGCTGGTCCAGCTCTGGGTGACAATTTGGGGTCAGCCAAGGAAAAGTGGAGGCCAGAGGAAATGTGCTGTAAAGGTATTGGAGCTGCCTGTGATCCCAAGGTACCATCACTGAAGGTTGAGGTAGCAAAAGGGGAGTCACAGATGTCCATGGAGATCAACCCTGAGGTCTCGGTGGCGAATGGCTGTCAGAGGAGGAGAAACAATGAAGTTTTTGTTTTTGCCTCCATCGACGTTGATCCTCGACCCTGACTGGCAATCGAGACCGAGAGTGTGCTGAGGAACAAGAGCTAGGAGGATTCAGTAGGCAGCCAGAGACTGGGACCTCTTCCACCTCAGAGTCAGTGAAGTGAACATCCATTGGTATCGATGCTGCCATTGATACAGGAGGTTGTTGGATGGGCGATGCGAGGAGCAGGACAGGTGGGGTGGTAGATACCTTAGTAGGGTCTGGTGACACCAGACAAGCAGCAGTTGTTGCCGGAGTTGCAACCGGAACAGCAGTGCCGGGGACAGAAGCCTTGGAGCCAGTGTTTATGTTTGACCTTAGTGTGGCTATTGTCCTTCTTCACCATCGGTGTAGAGGGCACTGAGCGATTCTCACGTGGCGTAACTTTCACAGTGGATGTTGAAGCCGCCGATGGTGTGCAAACCAAAGCCTCTGACAATCGAGGTCGATCTGTCGGTATCGATCGGTGTCGATCAACTGGCGCAGACTGAGGTTGATCCATTGATGTCGACGCCATATCAGTTGAAGTGGAGGCCATTGGCTGTGGGCGGAGCGCAGACTCCAATAAAGTTACGTGTAGCATCGCTGCCCTGTTTTGCGGGTCTGGTTCGAAAAATTCACACAGTGGGTGCAGGAGTCTGGCTCGTGCGATTCACCCAAACAAAGGAGGCACAAGGAGTGTCCATCCAGAGGTACCAATTTGGACCCACAGCAGATACAGTGCTTGAAAAAGCCCCAACGCTTTGCCATAGACCAGGCACAGCGTGAGGGGGGGAAACGGGGGTGGTGGTACAACAACGGTTGGAGGAAAAAAGACGACTAAGGATTTTGGTGTGGGTTTTTTGGTAATAAGAAACTATATAGAG